TAAATCTTTATTTTATTAACTTAAGTCTAAAAATACTAGTTTGCTATGTTTGGAGATTATTGTTTGTCTTAGGAAACTCCGCTCTTTCAAAAACGGTTTAAGAACATACATTTTAGACTACAGTTAAATAAGATAAGCCACTGTGCAGAGTGCACTCAATTTATGGAGTTAATGGGAGACTTCTACTTAGAAAAAATGTATAGATTTATGTTATTGCATGAATAACAACGCACCTTACAACAAATCATATTTAGATTTAACACAAACGAATCCTTCAAAATATATACTCTTATGGTGGCCACACACGGTCAGTTAAGTCATCAGTGGAACTGGTATCAGTTCGAACGGATTTAAGCCAAAGAAATTTCCACACACACGGTCAGTTCAAGTGATCATTCCAACTAATCAGTCCTACTAGGACTATGATATTTTTAAAATATCGTATTTTTGATGTATCGGTAATTATAAATATATCAGTGTTGGAGTTTTATATATCATAAGTTAATATACGGTAAGTCAATATCGGAGTTTTATAAATCGAAAAAAAATATATCGATATATCGGCTTTATTTGAAAAAACAACCGTAAGTCATATTAGTTTAGTTCATTTATTATATTTATAAAGCAAATTAAATTATAAATGTATGAAAATGTTAGATTATAGTTCCTATTAATTATCGTTTAATTTAAATAATACGATTATGTGTACCAATATTTTCCGTAAGTGTTTTCAAAAATACTCGTCGGTTTATATGTTCTGTTGTTAAATATGTTTAGAAGCGCAGGTGCTACGGATGTAGCTGAAGAAATCAAATATTCAACAGTTATTTAGATACAACGGGAGGTCTACCCAACAGACAGTTGATGACGACAGTAACTCAAGTTCATAAGACGCCTAACCGATCAAAATAGCTTGAGGTTTATATTAACATCTAAGCACTTGTTTCGTCGTTTTCTCTAATAGTTTATACGCGCAGACGCTTAAATCACAAAATCGCATCACTTTTACTAATCAAAATCCACTTCAAACCATTGTTTAAGCGATAAAATAGAAGCAAAAATCCGTCGACGGTCAAGTTGCCGCCAAAACACACAGTTAGTAAAGTAGTTATAAGTTTCGTAGATTATAGTAATTTTAATACCACAAAGATATACTATACAAAATTACATTTCTTTTTAAGATAATAAGCAAATAAATAAACTGCTGGAAAAAAGGAATAATATAAAGTACAGAAGATTGGAATGGAAGATTGTAGAAGATTGGGTAGTAATAAATTAAATGATTTACAAGACAAAATAAAAAATTAAAACTTTTTATTGAAAAAAAAAATCGACTGTAAATATTCATATTTTAACGCTTAGCCCACCGTGCGACCATGGGTATGGACCAATATATATATATATTTTTTTTTATTTTTTTTTTTTCCTGAGTATATATCGCGGGTCTTAAACCATAGGGGCGTATATGCAAAAATGCTTTCTTTTGTTTTTTAATGCCAGTGGATTCTACTAGAAGCAATAATTTAATATTAACTTATTTTTGAATAAATTACAAAATATTTTTGTCGTAAGCTAAAGAGTCGAAATAATTTTTAGGCCATATAGGCGTATAGTAGACGTAAAAGCAATACTATTGCATATTGGGCCAGATTTGACGTGCCACAAAGACGTATGCGCGTACGACCGTCAATGTCCACATGATCCTGAGTATATTTAGTCATTATGGCAGATGTATGTATGTCTACATATTTTAGTATTGTTATGTCAAGATTTCATCAAAACACGGACGCATAGTCATGTCAAATTCACCCAATATATAAACTCAGAGTCAGTAATTAAAACAACAATGTCCCGAAAAATTAGTAAGTCCTCGATGATCCGAACACACAAAATTTACACCTTGTTTGGATTAGTGAGGCTTTCGGATTATAGTATGTAGATTTTTTTATAAAATAGTCACTGAAATACAGGTATAATATCCTAATTTAAGGGCTGTTGACCACTGTAATTTTTTGTCCATGTAATATGTTTATCAATAAAGATTATTATTATTATTTTGAAAGATGTTTTTGACATAAAACAGATTTTATGATTGAAAGTGGATACAAATTTTAATCAATATGTATTAATTTTGAAAAAAAAAGCTAGTATAATACTTTGACAAGTGGTATTTAATGACATTTCTTTTATTTCCTGAGTCATGGTGCGAACAAGGGGTGGTGGTAGATTTTACGCCGCTACCATACGGCGAGGAGCCGAGTCTATTTTTTCGGCTTTGTCGCTCGTTTAGCACCACCCTGGAGACACGTGTAGAGTGGGCCTAAGGTTAGTTGGTGAGAGCCTACGGACGCGAGCGACTCATCCCCATCATCACTCATCAAGAATGAATGAGGAAAGAGTGACAAAGCAAATTTATATGGCAGATGTGAACGGCCAAGTCGGGAAGGGACGCCTAGAAAAAAGTTTATCGACCAAATAGGCGATATTTTGAAAATGGGCCACGTTAGAAGTACCCTTAACCGACGAGCATGTATGCGTAGATATATGGATGTAAAGGAGGCGAAAGAGGTATGTCAGGATCGTGCCAAATGGAAGTCCGTAGTCTCTGCCTACCCCTCTGGGTGACAGGCGTGAGTGTTTATGGTTATGGTATGGTATTTAATGACAAAGAAAATGCTTTATCCCTCAATGGTTTATGGATAGACACGGCTTATACCCATATCGTATAAGCCGTAATACCCACATACCCATATCGTAATAATACCCATATCGTATCGGTATAAGCCGTGTCTATCCATAAACCACCGTTAAACACTCTTTTCTAGGTACTTATTTGCTAAACACGTGTTGAACAGATGTCTAACTTTTTTGTAGTAAGACGGTTTATTTTTAACTTGTTTTATTGAAAGTGGTACAGAGTAAGGATTTGTTTCCAGAGAAGAGCTTACCCCCCTAAATTTTTTCAGTAGTCGAATTTGTAAAAAAGTGAATCGTAACATCTTTCCTCACTTGTATCCTATTACATCCTATCAGGCTCCCTACGCCCTGATTCAGGGTGGTGAAATAAGAGAAAGGGACTAAGGGTCCCTAATTAGGGCGTCAAAATGGACCCGGTCTGCAGTGCCCTTCCACCGTGCAGTGTAATAACACTATGATGATTAGGTCGGCATGCCCATAAAGTATGACATTGACAGGTACTGTCTGTACTACTAAGAAATTTAGGACTTCATAGGCGTGATTTTACTGACAGCTGTCGCAGAGATCAAGCTATCTTTTATGAACTTTAGGGAGTTAGGGCACTTATTCGATACGCGACTAGGGTTGCAAACAATACACCAATTCTTTCAAACATCGATATATCGTTCATAAGCATGGTTCTTCATGAGCTATGTTTTATGAACGATGTTTTGCCGTACAAGGCTACGAAATAACCAACATTTCGAAAGTATAAAATTCCGTATGTTAAAAGTTGCAAATGATGATTATCACGAATTTTATGTTGCCAAAAAGTAATTATAAAGTAATAATAACAAAATGCCAATGTTAGGTAACGTCTAAATTTTTAAAGTTAGAAGGTTTACGAGTATTATCGAGCAGAAAAAACTCAGTTCCGAAATTTTTTATTACGAATTAACAAACAGGCGGATGGTCTTTCAGCCGAAAATAAATATACTTCAGAAGTACAATTGTCTTCTATCGGTAATTCCATTTTCGATGTAAACTTGTAGTTATTTTTATTGTGATAATTAATTAAGATAAGTTTACAAATATTGAAAATGGATTGAAATTGTTTTATTCATTTTCTTATTAATAATTATATTGTTTGAGCTTTAACTTAACGAATAACTTAAGTACAGTCTTATAAGTTAATAGTTATTTTGTAATGGAAATTATTTTATCGGCTTACGGTACTACGTATTTCATTACAATAATTTTTCTGAAATATTTATTTTTATGGATGAACGTTTATTCACCTGTTTGTATTTCAGTATAGTTTTGTAGATGTATTCAGAAAATGCGATAATACTGAAGGTAACATATGGTACTACCATAAAAATTAACGCACCACTTCATAAGAAATAAAATTAAAGCAGAAGACGAGTTTCATATATTACATGTGGGATATCATGAAAGGGTTATTTCCCGGGCTTCATAGTCTAGATAAGATCCATTTGCCGATCGTGGCAACTTCTGTATCCCGTGAGCGGTTATTTTCAGAGGCTAGATCTACAATCACCCAGGAGAGAAACCACTTACTAGGCACCAGGTTGTCAAAACCGTTATTTTAAAATTCAATTCGAAAGAAATAAACGCAAAAAAATATTTAATTAATTCTTGTTTTCTGATAATCATTCGATAAAATTAAATGTGTAAAAATAAATATTGTCAAACTTCCTAAAATAACATAAATATAATGTTTGATTATTATACTTCTTTCTTTCTTTCTGTTCAAAATTGAAAAATTGCTTCCCTATTACTGAGTAAGTAGTGTAATACTGACGTTGTGACGCCACGCCCACCTTTCATTAAGGGCCCTGATTCAGGGTGGTGTAATAGGGGCATTAGACGTTGTTTAAGAAAGTAATACTGTTCGTGTGAGGGTTAATCCGTTTGAAAAATACGACGACACCAAGTTTAAGAAAAAATATAGGTTCAGCAACTTTTTGCTAGAAAAATATTAGATATTGTGAAAGATGATGTCCCGAGTGATTCTCGTGGTAACACAATAGATCCAGCAGTGCAAGTGGCTTGTGCATTACAATACTGGGCTCGTCATCAAGTGAGTTCGATTCATACAAAATTAAACTATGCTTACGTGTGTTCGTCGTAGAGAAGAATAGCTTCACCCATCACCCTGTATGTTTACCTATTATTTGCAATTTTATTTCAGATTCAAGATGACAGTGGAGATATGCATGGGACTTCTCAGCAATCAGTCAGCAAAATCGCTTATAATGTTGGGAAAGCATTAGCTAAAAAACGCTCATTTATTCATCAACATGCCCACTACACTAGGAGATCAACAGGAAACCATAAGACGATTTAGAAGTATATGTAATTTCCCCTCGGTGTTAGGGACTATAGACTGCACGCATATACGAGCTAAAAGGGTAGGTGGCGATATGAGTGAAGGCTATGTGAACAGAAAGGGTTACTATTCTATCAACGTGCAAGTTGTCTGTGATTTAAACTTGAAAATCAGAGACATAGTTGCACGTTGGAGAGGAAGTGCTCACGATTCTCGAGTTTTCAACGAAAGCACAATAAAAAAACGCTTTGAACGTGATGATTTTCCTGGAACATTACTTGGAGACAGTGGATATGCATGTACTGCATATATATCTTTACACCTTTGCTTAATCCTAGTAATGACAAAGAGGAAGCTTACAACAGAGCTCACATTAGAACAAGGAATACAGTGGAGAGATGTTTTGGCTTGTGGAATCAAAAATTCAGATGCCTATTAAGAGACATGTTTATGAGACTAAGCACAGCGAAAACCACAATTGTAGCATTAGCAGTGCTACATAACATAGCGATTGATATGAATGAAGACATTGATATAGTACGGTACGTTCGTCAGCGGCGCAGGCCACAGACTGAGAGATCTACAGTTAGAGGAGCAATTATTAGACAGCGTTTAATCAACCAAAATGTTTAACATAAGAAACAAAATAAAAAAAATGTAAAATTAGTCCTTATATTCTAGTTTTTAAAAAAAATTCTAATTCTAATTTCTTTTTGTCTTCTTCTGTTCTTATAATAATATATCAATTTCCAGTTTATGCCGCAACTGCTGATGAGCTATTTCTTGTTCTTGAAATTTTATTTTTAATTTATGTTCTTCCTCCAACATTGCTGAAGCCCGTTCCTTAAATTCTATAATCCTCCTTAATAAAGCCTCCTTGCCAGCCTTGTAACAGACATGATTTACTTATTTAATTAATAACCGTTAGGCTCATCCAGATGTTAAGCACCTATTTACTAAGTAGATAGTACCATTTTAATGTTCTTTGTGTAATGTATTGTATTTATGAGAAAATAAATGATTTATATATTTATTTATTTTCATTATTGAAATCAAAATATGAGAAGTAACCATACATACATACATGCAATCATGCCTTTTTCCTCATAATTCTAATAATGGTTGTTCATAGATACAAAAGTGCAGTGTCAATAATTAAATGATACTTACAAAACATGAAAATATATTAAAGTACAACTTTATTTTATATTAATCGACATTCCTACTTTAGAATCTAAAAATTTAAAAACCTCTCCTTTACCCTTCTTTCTTCGGCACGAGAGTGGGGAGGACCCCACTCCGCGTACCATCCATGGATTCTGCCCTCGATATCTCATTAAGTTTGGAGCTGAACATACGAATTTCTATATTTCCTGGATAATTGGGTATCAGAAGGGCGGGCAGGAGTGAGTTACTAATCTCTTCGGACGAAGCACCTAGTATAATTCATAAATTCCAGAAAATATACAAAATTTGACCAGCTCAAAGTTCAAAACTTTATTAAACAAAGGTTGTTTATAAAGTGCTATTATAATATTAAAGGATTTATTGATGATAATAATCCCTGGAAATAAGGTGATCGCTACCAAGCTATTTCTAATTTCTTTTGTATTGTTAATTATGTAACATATTATATGATCGTAAGCTGTATTTTTTAGTCCCGCTGGGTTTCTTGCTGCTTCTTCTTAGGACAGAGGATTTTTTCTAAACCAGTGGTAAATTAAACAAAAGAGTGACTTTTAATTAATATTATTTATAATATTGATTAAAAAAGTTTCTGTTATTGTCTCTGACTCCATATTTATGAAACTTTAGAGTAATTACGTAATCGAGAATTACGAGAAACCCTCGCTGAGCATCTACGACCCCAAATTACTCCACTCCTGAGCGTAAGTGCTCAGGCTGCCCCGCGTATTCTGGGGGGTGGGGAGCAAAATTCTGCTCAAGACTACAACTGTTCGGGGCAAATGGAGCAACAAGACCAAGGCGTCTCCTGCCACGCTATCCGTGAATTTCTGCAATATCAAGGGACTTCATTCTAACCTAAACGCCGTCCACTACCATCTCGAGACGGCGAGGCCGGCTCTGCTCTTTCTGACCGAGACGCAGGTGCCCTCTCGGGCTGATGCTTCATATCTCTCCTACCCGGGGTACAAACTGGAACACTCCTTTGTGCCTCGGACTGGAGTTTGCGTATACGTTAGAGAGGACATCTGTTCTCGACGCCTCGGCAGTCTTGAAGGCTCGGACCTGTCCATCCTTTGGCTACGCGTAGACAGTGACGACCATTCGTGCGGCTACGGGTGCCTTTATAGGTCCCACAGCGGTAATGCTGAAACAGATGACTCTTCGACCACGTCCAAATGCCTACAGATTCTTTGCTACAGCAAATCTCCTCCGCAGAGATCGTGATCCTCGGCGATTTTAACGTCCACCACGCCGAGTGGCTTGGCTCACGTTTAACCGATCGTGCGGGGAGATGTGTTCAGGATTTTGCCTTGTCATATGGTTTGACACAACTGGTTACTTCACCTACGCGGATTCAAGATGTGGAGGACCACACACCTTCCCTGTTGGACCTTCTGCTGACCTCTGAGATTATCGTTGACGCCCCTTTAGGCTCCTCGAACCATTGTCTTGTATGGAGTGTGGTGCCACTCACGCTGAAATCGCAGTTGTATTCTGCAGGCTGCCACCGTGTTTGGCACTATAGGTCAGCCGATTGGGATAGGATGCGGTCTTTCTTTGCATACTTCCCATGGGGGCTGATTTGCTTCTTGCTGGACGATCCCAACGTTATTGCTGATTCTGTCGCTGATGTGGTATTTTAGGGTATGGAACTGTTTATTCCTTCCTCTGTGGTGCCCATCGAAGGCAAATCTCAGCTATGGTTTGGTCACTCCTGTAAAATAGCATCATGCTATAAGCAGGAGTGCTACCAAGCCTGGGCTAACGCATCAACGTCCCGGGATGTAAACACCAGCGCTCTAAAAAAGAAGTATAATTCAGCCCCCAGGTCCTTCAAAAGAGTCATTGCCAAGGCAAAGTCAGAGCACATAGGCAGAATTAGCGAGGAACTAGTTCACTTTCCTTCTGGAACCCGTACATTATGGTCTCTCGCCATGGCTGCCCAAGGGAACTTCTGTCAACCCATATCTTCCATCTCTGCACAGGGGGACCGATTCACTGGCCTATGCGGCAAAGGAGAAAGCCAATCTGCTAGGCTCCTCCAGACCGCTCAGACCCGTCCAGCTACAGGACCCTCGTCATCACCTCCTTGTTCTCCAAAACAATGAAATCCATTGTGAACTGCCAGCTCATACGGTACCTTGAGAATCACCAGCTAATTAGTGACCACCAATACGGTTTCCGTCGTGGTTGATCAGCTGGTGATCTTCTGGTCTACCTGACTCATAGATGGGCGGCGGCAGTAGAGTCCAAAGGGAAGCATTGGCCATTAGCTTGGACATTGCGAAGGCCTTCGACCGGGTTTGGCACAAAGCGCTTCTTTCGAAGCTCCCTGCCTACGGACTTCCTTGGATCACCAGCTTTCTTGCAGATCGCAGCATCAAGATCGTTGTAGACGGTGCAAGCTCCCATTACAAGCCTATTAATGCTGGTGTTTCACAAGGAAGATAACTTCCCCTTTTTAAATAAAATTATATATATGTGACCAGGATAAATAAAATATGTTTTGATCTCTCAAAAGGTTTACTAATAGGCCGTTTGTAATATTTTGTCGTCTTATTTAGGACCCTTATTTACGTTGTGTTTGTTTAGTAACTTAGATCTTTTAGGTGTCTTTTGGAAGAATGAACATTCATTAGAGTAATTCAAAGCTGTTGGTAGTGCTTTACAAGCTAAGTGAACCCCGTTCACGAAAACAGGGCTCGAGAAAGGTTAAGAACATAAACGTCCCTATTTCACTTGTATCAGGTTTACATTATTAATTTATTATTATTTATCCCTTCCCGCTTGAAAAATTCTCACAATATATTTATACAAAATACACACGCCGTGCGCGGTGAGAGTGGAACGCTTATTCGGTAACTGAACCGTAGTCCAAAGCAAAATAACTGGCGAACCAGTAAAAGAGGGTTTGGCCCCTTGGTAGTTGTTGGCCCACAAACATCGACCGAAGTCGCGCATGTCAATGCGTGTAAACGCCTTACAGACAGAATACGAACGAATCCAGCCACAGTGAATGTACGTCACACGGTTTAGGCAAATAGGCACACTGGCCGTTCCCCAAACCCCTCGTGAGCGCCACCTGCCAGACCGCCGCCCCTGTAGACGTGATGTAAGTGTATGGCATCACCACCAATTGCATTATCAGCACGGCTACTAGCCGCAGAGCATGTCATGAGTCTATCGCTCACCTCAAGGGAATGAGGTCCCACGTTGTGCGGCTTTCGGCCGCAGCCTTGAGAGTCTCCTCAGATCCTCCCTTCAGCTACCACCTACATGAGATTGACACATATGCTCTACCAACCAATACAACGGTAGATATAGCCAAAAGGCAGTTATAAGATGTTAGTAATAATTTGCCATCAGAAAAGGTTTGTTTAACTGACGTTGAGAAAATGCATTTTCGATTATGTTTGTTTCACCCACCAACAAGTTGCCTTCAATCGTTGAAAGGGAAAGTTACAGAGATATATCATTATGTTGTTATATAAAACATCATAGAGGTCAGTCTGCAGCACCGTAATGAAGGGACCCGACTTGGGCAAAGCTGCTTAGGTGTGAGTCAAACCAAGACGCAAAGAACGCCATTGAGAATAGCGTCCCACCAAACAACCATCGCAGAGACGCAATGCTGCAGAACGCAACAAGCATCAATACGACTACCGTCGGGCTTACACCATCCCAAGGTCCCCCATACACCCAGCAGACATCACCTACTGCATACCGCCATCTACCAGAACCACAAGAGTGCGTCGAATCAGGCGCTGCACACCCGCAGGTCAACAATACCGCAATACAAGACGCAATACCGTACCGTAATAATAATAATGAAAACTTTCTGCGCCTGGTCAGTTGGCGCCCGTATTTACTGGAATATTCTGGATGTTTCGGTGTAAAAGTGTATTTAAAGCCACTGCATGCCGCGATCGGGGCAGTATTGAATTTGGCGAGACAAGCGAAGCTTCGGAGCGAAATAAAGTGAATCAGTGTGATTAATTATTACCGCTTTTTTAATTTTTAATTGGTGTTCGGTAATAAAAGTGTAAATTTTGGTAATTCTATCGGCAGTTTTTGCTGTCACGAATCCTAAGCTCGTAACAATATCCTTTTGGATTTGCTGTAGTTGGATAAAAATATTCACGTACATAATCTTTGTCTAATCAGAAGACACGAATATACTGCAATTGGTATAAATAATTGAAGTTGAGGCAGGAAATGCATGGTGCAGCACTATTTGTCACCCACCCATGC